TGTCCCCACAGCGAGAAACCTGGGGGTGCCTGTTGCTTCCTATCCATCCTGAAAACGGACAAAACAGTGTTCAGTGTGTTCCTTGGGGAGCAGAAGTGAAGCTTTGAAGGGACTTGAATGGATTTCAGTTCTTTGGGCAGAGGGGATGCACACAGACATGCAGCACCTGAGTTCTTCAGCAGCAGCTGGCTCCTCTCTGGAAAAGCTCCCCTGACAACTGTGGATTCTTCCCGTGGTTTTACAGCTGCAGGAGGAGGAAGAAAAGCATCTTCAGTCTGAGCATTGTGTTCCTGACTTGAAGACTGCCTTGGATGCCAAGAAAAGAGAGGCAGTAACTTCTTCCCAGGAACTGCAGGACCTCCTGTTGGCACCTTGTGAGACCAATCCGACTGTGAACCAACTGGAAGAAGACGCGCAAGAGTAAGAGAGGAACCCAGTGAAGCGAGGGGTCTGTGGCTTTGGGGATTGGGTGGAAACAGGGGGAGAGTCAGTGGGATTTTGAAGGACACTTCTGCTGTGGCTTCTGTTCCTTAGCACAGTTTGTCTGGCATTGGCTTTTCTGGTCATAAGAGCTGTATTTCTTCTTAAGCTTTGCAAGTGAGAACAGCAGATTGGAAGCCACTGTCCAGCAGCCAAGCGAGAGCGTTGAAGCCCTTCCGAGAGCCCTGCAAGCCTCTGCCTCAGTAAGCTGGTGCTAAATTTGCCTTTTTGTGACTCTTGAGCCTAGTTGCCTATTTCTGTGGGGCAACTGTCAGATGAAGTTTTCCTGGAGAGCCTGGGGAGCTCAGTTTCTGCCTTCTCCTCAGCAGAGGCTGCTCAGAAAGCAGCCTGGTCCTTTCCCCAGCTGCTACAAAAGCCCTGAGGGTATTTGGTGTGCTGGACACTGGAGGAATTCTTAGATTCTAAATGAGGAGTTTCATCATGAGCTCCAAGGGACCCAGAAGTATTGTTGCCAGAAGTGTCTCCCAAATTCTTAAGTAGGTGTAAAGTTTCTTCTTTCTGTCGGGGAATCTTTCAAGTGTTTCCTAGGCTGGTTTCCAGTAGATGATAAATACAGTTGCCATGGCCACCCCCTTGAGAGATTTTCCCAGAATTCACTGCCTTTAGATCACGCTGAGTTTCCTTTTCTTTTATTTCTCTGTGCACAGGGTGGTGAACTTTCCCAGCAGCTGGACATGGAGCCTGGAACAGGCATGCAGCTCGAGGCCCTAAACCAGGCTGTGCAAGAAGAGCTGTCCACTCTGCTTGGGAGGTGTGAACAACTGGAGAAGAGCAAATGTCAGCTGCAAGAAGAGGTGACAAAACACCACCATCATTTGGAGACTTTGGTGCTGGATGGCAGCCAAAGAGAACAGTGTACAGGAGAGGTGGCAGAAGGAGCTGACCAGGAAAGAAGTGCAAAGCTACAAGAGGTCAGCCTCGTTTTGCAAGTAAGTGAATTTCTCCCCAGTGTCCACAGGCTCTTCATTAGGAGCTTTGAAGCAGAGTGCTCATTTGGGCTTCTTTCCCACTGCAAAGAATTGTTTGCCCTGGTAGCTCCTGGGTTCTGCCTTGATTGCTGCTGGGAGTGAGGAGGCAGAGCCGCCTCTCTGAGTCAGGCTGGGCCCTTGAAAGTGGGTGTGTGCAATTTTGTGCTGGGCAGAGCTCTCTTTTTCTTGTGGTGGTTGAAGGTGCACTGTCTCCTTCAGGCACAGGCAGCCCACCAGGCCCCACTAGGACAAACTGGAGACATTCATTGTGATTCCATGAGAATCCAGTTGGAAGAAAGGATTAGAAATCTTGAAAGTGAATTGGAGAGGATCAAAACCACCCAAGAAGAGAGTGCTTCTCGTAAAGAAGCAACACAGGGAGGGATGGAAATGTACAAAGAGCTGTATCTGGAGGAAGTGAAAACCAGAAGATGCCTTGCCAAGAAACTGGAAAGGTGAGTCCGTGCTTGTTTGGAGTGGTAATAAGAGAGTCCTTTTTCTTCCTGCATTTTCCTTGGAAATCCATCTTCTCCATCTGGCCAGCATTATTGCCCTCCATTGGCCAACAGGGTCTGATGGAGTTGCCAAGACCCTCTCCTTGATATTTGAAAAGTCGTGGCAGTCAGGGGAAGTCCCAGGTGAGGGGAAAAAGGGAAACCCACTGTGCCCATCTTTGAAAGGGGTAGAAAGGAGGGCCCTGGGAACTGCCAATGTGTCAGCCTGCCCTCTGTGCCTGGGGAGGTGATGGAAAAGATCCTTCTAGAAGCTCTGTCAAGGCATGTGGATGACAGGGAGGTGATTGGAAGCAGCAGCACAGCTTCCCCAAGGGCAAGTGCTGCTTGACCGACCTGGTGGCCTTCTAGGATGGAGTGACTGCCTCAGTGGACAAGGGCTACCCATGTCATCTCCCTGTCATTCTGGAAAGCCTTTGACACAGTCCCCCACAACATCCTTCTCTCCAAAGTGGAGAGAGAAGGATTGGATGCGTGGACTGTTAGATGGATAAGAAATTGGGTGAACAGTGCCATGCAGAGGTGGTGATCAATGGCTCAGAGTGCTGAGGGCCATCAGTGCCGAGTGGTGTCCCTGAGGGGTCTGGACTGGGCCCAGTGTTCTTTAATCTCTTCACTAATGATCCAGAGGAAGGGCTGGAGTGTGCCCTCAGCAAATTTGCAGCTGACACCAAGCTGAGGGGTGTGGTTGACACAGGTGATGCCACCCAGAGGGCCCTGGACCAGCTGGAGAAGTGGGCCCATGGCAATCTGCTGATGGTTTAACCAGAGCCAGTGCAAGCTGCTGGCCGTGGCTCAGGGCAGCCCCTGTATCAGTGCAGGCTGGGGGATGAAGAGGGGCAGAGCAGCCCTGCCGAGAAGCCCTTGGGCTGGAGGAGAGGCCGGACATGAGCCGGCGATGTGCGCTCGCAGCCCAGAGAGCCAATTGTGTCCTGGGCTGCGTCCAAGGCAGCGTGGCCAGCGGGTGGAGGGAGGGCATTCTGCCTCTCTGCTCTGCCCTTGGGAGAGCCCAGCTGGAGGGCTGCATCCAGCTCTGGGCTCCTCAGCACAGCAAGGACCTCCAGCTGTTGGACTGAGTCCAGAGGAGGCCACCAAGGTGCTTGGAAAGATGGAGCACCTCTGCTAGGAGGAAAGGCTGGGACAATTGCAACCCTTCAGCCTGGCAAAGAGAAGGCTTTGGGGTGACCTAATTGTGGTCTTTTGGGGTGTGAAGGGAGCCTACAAGAAGGATGAAGAGAGTGCATTTAAAAGAGCAGGTAGTGAGAGGACAAGGGGGAATGGCTTCAAACGGAAAGAGAATAGGTTTAGATTTGATCCTGGGAAGAAATTGATTGCTGTGAGGGTGGTGAGGAACTGCAACCGGTTGCCCAGAAAAGCTGTGGATGCCCCATGGCTGGAAGTGTTCAAGGCCAGGTTGGATGGGGTTGTGAACAAGCTGGTCTGGTGGAAGGTGTCCCTGCCCAGAGCAGGAGGCTTGGAACTGGATGATCTTTAATGTCCCTGCCAAGCCAAGCCATTCTAGGCTTGGATGCTGTCTGTGCTGTTTCTGTGAGACTGTGGGGGAAAGGCTGGTTCTTCCTGTGTTCCATGGTTTTCTTCACTAATTTGCTGTGCAGGCTGGAAAAGCTTCTGAGGATAGAGAGGAGGAAACTCCGGGTTAATGAAGAGAAAGGAAGTCAGTCCCAGCTGGAAGAAATGAAGAAGAGATATTCTGAAAAGGTCAAGGAAGTTGATAGATTCCAAAAAGAGGTGAGCTGCGCTCTGGGTGGGGCTCTTTGGTTGTGGTGTTCCTTCTTTTGAAAGCTGGGAGATGCTTTCCCTCTATTTCTTGTCATGTGGATGTTTTTATTCCCTTGTCTGCATTTTGGATGTGATGGGCTTTTCTTAATGCTCCTCCTGCTGTTCCAGTGGGAGATGACTCGAACTAATCCGGGGTAGTTCTCCTTCTGGGGAAAGATGCAAATGTTGAGGGCAAAGCAGTAGGTGTAAGGGCTGATGGAGGCCAGGCTGTCCTGCAGAGGAGGGGCAAGCCAGGAGTGGCAGCCAGCCTGGCAGGGTGCGTGAGCTCCCGGGCCAGGGAGCCGTCCCACAGGCCCTGAGCAAGAAGAGCAGAACAGGTCCCCTGAGAGTGAGCGGGGTCAGCCAAGAGTGCAGATCCCCCGGCTGGGCCTGAGGGATGGGCAGGTCTGCCGTCCTGGCAGGACATCACGTGCATGGGCTGAGAGCAGTGGGGCCCAGCTCAGGCCTGGCTGCAGCTGGAGGGAGGCTGTGACAGCGTCCTCTGGGTGTGCCAGATGAATTGCTGCCCTGGCAGAGAGGGGAGGAACAGCGCTGTCACTGGCAGGGCACCATCAGCCCCTGAGCCCTGTCTCAGGCACGAGCTGAGCAGGAGGCCCTTGAGGTTTGGCTTTTCTCCACAGTGTTGTTGCTGCCCAGGGCCCAAGGAGGACAGGGGCCTCCCAGGGGAAAATCTGTCCCTTCTTGCTCACGGGGAGCTGTTTCAGCCCATCCTGTGGCGGGGAGCCAGAAGGGCTGTTCCCAGCAGTGCTTTTGAGGCTGCTGTGCCTGTGCAGCAGTGGCACAGAACCTCTCATCCCTTCTCCGCTCGTCACTCGGATCCGTTGCTGAAGCGGCGTCTGTCAGAGTCACGCTTGGGTTTGAAGGCATCCCTGTAGAATGGCTTCCTGCCTTTGCAGTGATTCCTTTGGAGTCCAGAAGCGTGGAGCATTTTTGCATGAGGAACTCCAAAAGGCTGGGAAGCTGAGGAATCCTATGGCAAATGATGGGAAAGCTGTTCTTGCTGGAAAAGAAAAGCCTGGTTGCACTTTGTGTCTAGTCCTGAGCCAGCAGATGATGAATAAAGTCTCCCTGGGCACCCCCATTTGGGGTTTGCCCAGAATTCACTGCCTTTACACCACGCTGAGCTCCTTTTTTTATTTTCTGTCTGCAGGTTGCTGAACTTTCCCAGCAGTTGGACAGGGAACGTGAACAGTGCACGCAGCTGGAGGCCAAAAATCAGGCTTTGCAAGAAGAGCTGTCTGCCCTGCGTGGGGAGTGCGAGAACCTGGCCCTGGACAAATGCCAGCTGCAAGAAGAGCTGGCAAAACTCCACCATCATTTGGAGACCAACGTGGTGGATCGCAGCCAACTCGAACAGTGCAAAAGAGAGGTGGAAGAACAAGCAGACCAGGAAATAAGACAAAAACTCCAAGAAGTCAATGAGTTTTTGCAAGTAAGTGAATTTCTCCCCAGTGTCCACAGGCACTTCCTAAACTTCTCTTGTGGCCATGGTGTTTGGGCTTTTTCTTTTGCTCCTGTGTTCTGTGGGTTAGCTTCTGTCTTTGCTGAAGGCAGTGGCAGAAGGCAATCTGGTTGGGCAGGAGTGCTGTCATGGGTGTGGAATGTGCCGGCAGGTCCCTGAATGCAAAGGCTGCCCAAGGCAGATTCCCACTTTGCAGTGCTTGGGGGGATCTCTGTGCGCTGCTCTGCTTCTCACTGCTCATCCTTGAATGGGTTTGGCAACTTGCAGCTGTCATGGCCAGACCTACAGGTGCTGCTTTGTCCTTGTAGGGGTGAAAGTGCTCAGAAAAGGAGTCACTGAAATTCCAGGGATGGGAGGGAGAGGGTGGAGGTGGAGGTGGAAGCTCTTCTTGTCTTTGAAGAATCCTTTTGGACATGCCCTGTCCTACAGACCCAGTGTCTCTTCATTAGTAGCTTTGAAGCAGAGTGCTCATTTGGGCTTCTTTCCCACTGCAAAGAATTGTTTGCCCTGGCAGCTCCTGGGTTCTGCCTTGGTTGCTGCTGGGAGTGAGGAGGCAGAGCCGTCTCTCTGAGTAAGGCTGGGCCCTTGAAAGTGGGTGTGTGCAATTTTGTACTGGGCAGAGCTCTCTTTTTCTTGTGGTGGTTGAAGGTGCACTGTCTCCTTCAGGCACAGGCAGCCCACCAGGACACCTTAGAAGAAATCAGAACCAGTCATGTGGAGTCACTGAAAAAACAGTTAGAAGACAGAATTAGAGATCTGGAACGTGCACTGGGAAGGACAAAAAGCAACCAAGCAGAAAGACCTTTTCAAAAGGAATCCACCCAGGCAGAAGTGGACAAGTACAAAGAGCTGTATCTGGTGGAAGCCCAAAGAAGAAAAAGCCTCACCAAGAAACTGGAAAGGTAAGTCCCTGCTTTTTTGGACTGGTAAGAACAGACTCCTTTTTCCTCCTGCATTTTCCTTGGAAATCCCTTTTCTGCATCTGGCCAGCATCAGGTGTGAAAGCAGAACGTGGCATCTTTGTGGGGAAAGTTCCTTCAGACCCTTCCCTTCCTCAGACCTGTCTTCCTTTCTCTTTAGAGTTCCAGCAGTAACCCCACAGCAGCACCACTCTGGCATTATTGGTGTCTTTTCAAGTTGAGGTTGTTTTAGCAGGCAGTCTTTTTGCCAGTCTCAACTCTCCTCATCTTGTGGGTGACAGAAAAGCTGAATCTTGTGCCCTTTCCTGTTTGAATAAGGAGAGGCCTCTGGGAGAAGAGAGTTGGATTCTGTGAATCCAAAATAAGGCGGCTCTTTCTTGGCTTCTGTTTTGGCAGCGGGTCTGAGGGTTGAGCTTTCCTTGAGAAGGCCAGGGTAGCCCAGAGTTCTTCTGGAGGTGCCACTGGCTGCTCCTTGCACTTGGTGTGATTTCTTAGAAACAGGCCCTGGGAACAAGCTCAGATCAAAGGATGTGCTGGGTTTGGACGCTCTTCATGCCCTTGGCTTTTAGAAGTCGAGTAGTAGCCAAGGCTGTGGAGGGGAACTTTGCGAAAGCCTTCCTGCCAAAGATGACTCTGTGTGTGCTTGTGAATGTTTCAGAGCTACTGAGAGACTTGCAGTGGCGAACACCAAGCTCTTTTTGGAGCGCCACAGAAGCAGATCTGTGGTCACAAGCAGCGCTGTCAGCGGAGTTCTGGCTGCAAGTCCACTTCTGGATTCACCTGGCCTGGGACATGTTGGCCTCAGTTTGGGACTGAGCAGAAGTCTGGCTCTCAGAACACCACCCAGACACCTGTGGTAAAGCCCAAGACTTCTGCTCATCAGGTTGGTACAGATTTTCCAGAGTGGTCAAAGGCCCAAAAAGGTTGAAATGGAAGCAATGAGCTGTGGAACTCCATTCTTTTCCAAGAGAAACTGTGGGCAAGAGCTCTGTGGCACAGGAACCTCCCACCTAAGTTCTACCCTAAATTTACACGTAGTAATCTTCTGTAGTCTGTGGGGTTTGGCAGGAAGCCAACTCCAACTGGCTACAGATGGTTTTGGTGTCAGAAGTGGGATTGTTTTGGTTCCTTTGTTTTTGTTGTGGGAACATTGTCTGGGAAAGCTGCCAAGAGCAGGTTTGTTTTGTCAACATCCCCCATTGTTTTGGGACACTCCTGGGAGAGCTGCCAAGAAGGATTTTGTTTATCTAAACATAGCTTTGTTTAGGAACAAGAAGGGAAAATAATAACAATGGCCTTTTTACTAATTTTATTCCTGATTCTTGCTGGTTTTGTGCCTGTCCTAGGACATCCTGTGAGGGACCGTTCAGATGGATGGAACAAATTGCTTCCTTTCCTTAATTTCGACACCCACGGCCTAGTAGCCAGTTTCCTTAATGGTGGCCTTCAAGGTTTGGTAGCAAAGACTCCAAGATCAGCTCTAACCCATCCCTACATTGCTCAGCGACAATGATCCTAGTGGTGAGGGCAGCGAAAATGCTACTTAAAATTGGAGAGGTGGTGCTGCATTGGTCCCCTTGTTGTACGAAAGGAATCGCTGGAGCTTTGGGGACAAGAAGTGCCAACGGCCACGACAACTGTACACAGGCAACAGTATCGGAGGAACCGAGATGCTGTGACCCCCATCCATCCATCCAGTACATCCATGACATCATTGCGGGGGGGACACAGCAGAAGAAGTTTTCGAGAAAGGACAGAAGATCATCCAGATTCTCCTCGAGGCTGGTTTTGCCATCAAGAAGAGTAAGGTCAAGGGCCCTGCCCAAGAGATCCAGTCCCTCGGGGTGAAATGGCAAATGGACGACACCAGATACCAACAGACGTCCTCAACAAGATTGTAGCAATGGCTCCACCCACAAACAAGAAAGAAACCCAAGCTTTTCTTGGAGCCATTGGCTTCTGAAGGATGCACATCCCAGAGTACAGCCAGATGGTGAGCCCTCTTTACTTTGTGACCCGTAAAAAGAACAATTTCCAGTGGGGTCCTGAACAACAACAAGCTTTCAGGCAGATCAAGCAAGAGATTGCACATGCCGTGGCTCTTGGAGCAGTCAGGACAGGACCAGAGGTAAAGAATGTGCTCTACTCTGCAGCTGGAGATAAAGGTCCCTCCTGGAGCCTCTGGCCAAAGGTGCCTGGTGAGACGTGAGGGCGACCACTGGGTTTCTGGAGCCGAAGCCACAGAGGTTCTGAGGCCAATTCCACCCCTGTGGAGAAGGAAATCTTAGCAGCCTATGAAGGCATACGAGCAGCTTCAGAGGTAATTGGTCCCAAAGCACAGCTCTTCCTGGCCCCCCAGATGGGACCCCAGCATGCAAAGTGTAACTGGATAAGGGAAAAAGGGGGTAGGGTTTATCCATTTTAGGGAAAGGGTGGCCAAAAAGGAAATACTGCAATGCAGCAAACTTTGGCCAATCAGGGAGCGGGGTCTAAGGATACAGACATCAAGGGGATTTTTCATCAAACAATTTCAGGGGACAAACAAGGGAAAAACTACAGTAAATGTTTAGACACAACCGTAAAACTCGAAAGGCTTTGGGTCTGAACTTCTTGACAACTTCATCCAGGGCTTTCATCCTCTGGAGGGTCACACATTTCTTGTTGTCTTCTCCAGCTTTCAGATTCAGCAATGTCCTCACTCCCGACAGACCAGGGTCCCCTTTCCAGAGTAATGGAGGAGCACCGGGATTTTTTAATCCAAAATTCCTGGATTGGAATGAAGTGCTCTGGAAAGGCTCTGGAAATCATTGGGTGTTCACAGTGAGTCTCTGGTTTCCCATCCCCTGCTTCAGATGTGAAAACATGTTCCTTGCAGTCGGAATGTAAACTCATCAGCTCCATTAAACTTGAGCACTATATCCCATCATCCAGATCATCAAGGAAGATGTTCACCAGGAATTGCTGATCACTGGCCTCCAGCTGGATGTTGCACTCCTGATCACCACCCCAGCCAGCAGATTTCAACCAGCCTGCTGTCTGCTCATCCAGCCCATACTTCATGGGCTTCTCTGTGAGGGAGCCCTGTCTGTGTCCACTAGTACACACATTCATTTGGATTTTAAACAATCAAACAGAAGTGAGTGTTTTAACAGCAGAATTATTTTTCAAAGGGAAATAGAAGGGTAAGAGTTTTTAATTTTAATGATCATGTTTTACATGGTACTAATTGACATCTAGTAGAAATGAGACAGCACCTTAAGAGACAAATCTACATTCTCTATTTATGCCCCTGAATTACAGGTATGGCTTTGATGGAACGAGTGCCTTCAAGCTCCTCTGGCAGGCACTGTTTGAAAGCTATTTGGGTGATTTTTGATAAGAAATGAAAGATGCAACGGCAGGAAGCCATTCAGCAATCCCTGACAAGGGAGGTCCACTGTCAATTGCTGGGAGGGCCCCCACCTGTTTCTTTTAATGGTGCTCCCAAATCCCACCCCTTGGGCCTCCCATCTCATCCCATCCTTTTTGGTCCCCTCAGGCATCTCCTCCCCAGCATCTGCTCTGTGTCCTACCCAGGATCCCCAAACATCCTCCCACTGATCATTCCCAAAGCTTTTCTTTCCATCCTTCTCCTCAGACCTTTGCCTTTCACCCAGGTCACTGCCCTGGTACCTCCCAAGACCATTCCTTGCCTCCCTCTCCACTCCCAACCATCTCCCAGTGCCCTCGTTTTTGTCCTCCTCCATCATCCTCCTCCTGTCCCCACCAAGCCTCTCCCTTGCAGTGCCCATGTCCCTACACTTGAATTCCTTTCCCCTCCCCTGCATCCCACACAGGGCCCCTTCAACACCCCAATCCCAGTCCCGTGGGCTCCCCAGTTCCCCCCACTTCACCCTCTTTGGGTCCCCTCCTACTCCCCCCACCGTCCCTGCAGGCCCTGAATTCCCCTGGCTCTCCTTGTCTCCATCCCCACCCTGGGCCCTGCAGGCACAGGGGTTGGAGGTGAAACTGGGGGCAGTGGGAGCAGGGGGAGCAGAAGGGTTTTTCCCCCTCAGATGGGGGGCAGCCCTGGGCTGGGGGGGCTGGGGACCCCCGTGTCCCTCCCCCAGCCCCACAGGGGCCAATCCTGCTTAAACCTTTGCTCTCCTTGCCCAGGCACTCTTGGCAGGAACCCAAAATGATCTGCGGGAGGTGAGTGGGCCGGGGGGACTGGAGGGCATCCAGTCTGGGAACTGGGGGACACTTTGGTCCCCCCATCCCTCGCTGGCACCGGGGACATCCCAGTGACCAGCCAGGGCTCCTGGGCTCTCTCCAGCTGCATTTAGTGGACGTTGGGATCCTGAAGACGGCTCAGGTGGGTACCAGGAGTTCTGCCTGAGTGGGGTCCTCCCCTCACATGGCCATGACACTCCTAAGCCATCCCAGTCTGCCCCAGTATACCCCAGTGCACCTTCCCCAAGGATCCCATTTCTCCCCCCAGGCTCCCAATACATCCCACTGCACCCAGGGTGTCCCTAACCCTGCCTTTGTCCCCAGCCCCCTGTGGTGGAGAAGGTGGTGGGTCCTGTTGGTGAGAAAGGCGTGGCTGCATCCCTGGATGGCTGAGGTGAGCAGTGCCTGCAGGGAGAGGGGTCAGGACAAGGCCCCTCTCATGTTGCAGTGGACTTTGGGGGTGACGTTTGGGGCTCTGTCTTTCAGGACTGGTGGTGACACCCGTGCCCTGTCCCCCTCCAGTGGCATGAGGAGATGATCAATCCAGGAAGAACCCTCTGATTTCCCTCAGAGCCCAGGGGCATTTTCCCTGAATGATCAATAAATCCCTTCAGCAAAGCTACTCTGCTTGATCTTGTGTGTGTGTTCCCATCTCCATGGGTGTGTTCCCATCTCCATGGGTGTGTTCCCATAGAATCACCACTTCCCTGGGCAGCCCATTCCAATGGCTGATTACCCTCTTTGTAAAGAAATTCTTTCTAGTATCCAACCTAAACCTCCCCTGGCACAGCTTAAGACCCAGCCCTCTTGTCTTGCTGATGGTTGCCTGGGAAAAGAGACCAACCTCCACCTGGCTACAACCTCCTGTCAGGGAGTTGTAGAGAGTGAGGAGGTCTCCCCTGAGCCTCCTCTTCTCCAGGCTGAACAGCCCCAGCTCCCTCAGCCTCTCCTCACAGGACTCGTGCTTGAGTCCCTATCCCAGCCTTGTTGCTCTCCTCTGGACCTGCTCCAGGACCTCAATGTCCTTCCTGATCTGAGGAGCCCAGAACTGGACACAGCACTCCAGGGGTGGCCTCACCAGCACTGAGTCCAGGGGAAGAATCACTTCCTTGGACCTGCTGGCCACACTGTTCCTGAGCCAGGCCAGGATGCCATTGGCCTTCTTGGCCACCTGGGCACACTCTGGCTCCAGTTCAGCTTCCTGTCAATCCAAACCTCCAGGTCCCTTCCTGCCTGGCTGCTCTCCAGCCACTCTGTCCCCAGCCCAGGGGGCTGCAGGGGGTTGTTGTGGCCAAAGGGCAGGACCCGGCCCTTGGCCTGGTTGAACCTCATCCCGTTGGAATCAGCCCAACTCCCCAACCTATCCAGGTCCCTCTGCAGAGCCCTCCTGCCTTCCAGCTGATCGACACTCCCCCCCAGCTTGGTGTCATCTGCAAACTTGCTGATGATGGACTCAATCCCCTCATCTCATCATGGCCAGTCTTCACAAATGAAGATTTGGGAAAGGTCTCCACCCACATTTGTTACAAGCACACTGGTGATACAGGGCTTTGCAAATGCGGGTAAGGCCTTCGAGCCTGCGCAATGGATATTTTAGGTGAGACACAGTGTGCGCTGAACTGAGCCCACCCTTTCATCCTGAGGTTCATCTGCCGGGGCCGAGCGAGCTTGGACGGTGGCAGCGAGGTCCTCAGGACGTAGGTTTGTTTAGAGTGACCTTCTCTTAGATGGATGACCAGGTCGAGAGCAAAACGGCCTCAGAGCTTTTTCCAACACACACCCGCCTTGCCTCCGTTAAGGCAGAAAGTGAAGTGCCACTTTCCAAGGAGAGGAGGGGAGAAAAAAACCCCTCACGCCCCCCCCCCCAGCCCCAGGGAGAGCTGTCAGGCTGGAATGTAGTTCTGCCAGCCAGCTCCTTTGGGTAGGTAATCACCCAAGGCAGAAAACTGTCCTCCCCATTCAACATCCCTCCCCCACAGGCAGCAGGGGAAAGAAAATTCCCGTTCAGTTTTTTAGAACAAGTAAACCCGTGACACTGGGGAACAAATCCCCCAGTGTATTTCCCCCATCTCTACACTGTCAACTCCTTTGAACACTAGGCTGGGCAGGGATTCTTACTGTCATTGGATCTCTGTGAACACAAACGGAGCTGTCCTTGGGGGCTGAATGACTGCAAGGCTCATAAGTGAACACAGCAGTGAGGACTTGTGCTCCACATCCCAGCAGCTGTGTCACAGGGAACTGTGTTACTGGTAAATTTCCTTGAATCTGGCCCAGTGCTACAGACAGAGCCCATTCATCCTGGGTTTGATCCTACTAATCATCCTACTAACCATCATCCTGGGTTTGCACCTAACAATTTTCTTCTCATCGAAACCCCCTTTCCGTACTTGTTGGGTTTAACAGCCTTTGCAACACCTTGCAAAGTACAGTGACACAAAAGAGCTGGTTAATATTCAAGGATCACTTCTATCGAGCTCAAGAGAGTTTCATCACAAAAAGCAGAAAGTCAGGCAAAAATTCCAGGAGGTCTGCATGGATGGCTTGACAAGGAGCTTCTTGTTCAAACATAAAAAGGAAGCTTACAGAGAGTGGACGCAAAGAAAGAAAACAGAAATGTTATCTGGGCATGCAGGGATGAAGTTGGTAAAGCCAAAGCCCAAATGGAACTGAATCAGGCCAGTGATGTCAGAGACAACAGGAAGGACTTCTTTAAGTCTGTAGGTGACAAAAGGAAAAGCAGGGAAAATGTGGGCCCATCCCTCAACAAGATGGGGGAGCTTGTTCCACAGGACAGGAAAAAAGCAGAAATACTGAATGTCTTCTTTGCCTACGTCTTTCCTGGCTTTTCCCAACCTTCAAGGATTGGGACAACTGACTCTAGGAAACCCTGTTCTAAAACAGGCCTTGGACTAGAGCACCTTAGTCTTTCCGTGATTCTGTGCAGAGGGTGAGCAGTAGTGTGAGAAAAATCTCATTTATTAAATTTAGATAAATGGCAAAAGTTTGCAAAACAAAATGAATGAAACGAAAAGGAAAAATTAATTACAACACATGTTGGGTGTCCTAGGCATGCAGGATTCCCAGGAACACACCTCCAATTCAAAAGTCCCGCTTTTTAAACATTCTTAAGGTTCAACCCTGATTATGTCATAGAAGAGGTGTTCCCCTCCCCCTGGTTGGCTGTGTCGTGCTGGGAGGTGGAGTGTCCAGCAGCACGGCGGCTTCCAGGACCAGCCATGCGGTATAAGGGGTTTCCTTACCAATATTCATTTTACAGTTCCCTATTCCCGTCCCCAGGTTTCCCTGACACCGATTCCAGGCTGAATCTGGTGTCTTACAACTCCATGATATGCCTTATAGGTTAGTAAAGAAAAACTCCCACGTTAGTGATTTGTTTAATTCATTTGCTTGTAATAAAACCGATTTTTTATTTCCCACACCATCCCTCCCAGAGCCCAGGGAAGGACTGAGGGGCCTTGGCTGATTGTCCCTGACCCTCCCCTGCCCCGACACCAAGCTGTGCTCCTTGGGGACGGTGCTTGGACAGCCCCAGTCAGACCCTGTTTCCCGCTGTGCCCCCAAACCACCGGGTGCCCCAGGGGACGTGGGAACACACATGGACACGGGAAGGCACCCGTGGAGGTGGGAACACACCCACCCAGACAGACACAGAGCATTTGTTTTGCTGCAGGGGTTTATTGATTCTTGCAGGGAAATTGCCAGGGCACCCAGGGGATCAGGGGGGTCCTCCAGGGATGATCATCTCCTCATGCCGCTGGAGGGGGCCAGGACACGGGTGTCACCACCACTTCCAGTCCTGAAAGACAGAGCCCCAAACGTCACCCCTGGTGTCCACAGGGACATGGCAGGGGCCTTGTCCCCACCCCGTCTGTCTGCAGGGAGCTGGGGCAGGAGAAGGGAATTGGATGCTGAGATCCATGTGGCCCCCAGAGCCCCCCAGCCCGGGATGCTCTGACACCTCCCCGAGCCCCTCCCTGCCCTCCCGGTGAGCCTGGGGGTCTGCAGAGCCCCCAGTGCAAGGCCAGGCTTGGGGGCAGCTCTGTCCAGCTGCCCCGGAACACGGAGCAGGGACAGCCCCCTGTGTGTCCCTCTGCTGTCCCCAAGCTCTGCCCACTGCAGAGGGCTCAGGGACCCCCCAGGGCCCTGCCAGGCTCCCTTGGGGGGCTGAGGACCCTCCCATATTTCTCACCTGGACATGCAGAGAGGCAGCCGAGTGTCACTCACGCAGCAGCTCCACCAGGTCAACTATGGGGGGCTGGGGACAAAGGCAGGGTTAGAGACACACTGGGGTAAACTGGGACACACTGGGATGTACTGGGGCACACTGGGGTGGACTGGGACACACTGGGCTTGAGTGGGACACACTGGGGTGGACTGGGGCACACTGGGATGCAAGGGAGGGTCATGGCCATGAGAGGGGAGGGTCTGTGCCCAGCAGAACTCGGGGTACCCACCTCAGACCTCTTCACTCGACCGATATCCATGCCTCCCTGGAGAGAGAGTGTGAGGTGTCACTGGTCACTGGGGTGTTCCCAGGCCCAGGAGGGATGGGGGGACTACATTTCCTCCCATTTCCCACACTGGGGGCATCCCAACTCCAGGACTTACCCCAATACATCCACCTCCTGCTATTCCCCCGATTGGCTGGGGAAGGAGAGCAAAGGTTTAAGCAGGATTGGCCCCTGTGGGGCTGTGGGAGGGACACGGGTGTCCCCAGACCCCCCAGCCCATGGTTGGTTTCTCCTCTGAGGAGGAAAATCCCTTCTGCTCCCCCCAGCCCCACTGCACCCAGTTTCCCCCGGGATCCCTGTTCCTGCAGGGCCCAGGGTGGGGATGGAGACAAGGAGAGCCAGGGGAATTCAGGGCCTGCAGGAGGGTGGGGGGAAGGAGGAGGGGACCCAAAGAGGTGAACTGGGGGGAATTGGGGATCCCAGAGGATGGGCATTGGGGTGTGGAAGGGATGGGACTGTGAGGGATGCAGGTGAGGAGGAAGGGATTGCAGTGGAGGGGACCCAGGGAATGAAGCAGGGCAGGGGTGGGGGCAGGAGAAATGGGGAAGGGGAGAAAACTGGACAGGATTGGGAGTGTCTTTGGGACTGAGGGGTCAAGGAAGGGGATTTCTGGACACAAGTGTCATGGGCAATGGGAAAGGGAAAGGATTAGAGGAGAAAGAGGGGAAGAAATGGTGTGGGAATGATGGCCTGTGTGTGTGTGGTGGGGTGGACTGGGGTGTGTGGGAATAGAGTGGGGACCCTGAGGAAGGGCCTCCCCGGTGCACACTGGGGTGGACTGGGGAGCATTGGGATGGTCTGGAGGGTGGTGACCACCAGAGGGGAGGGTCTGGGCCCAGCACAAGCCCTGGTACTCACGCCGGTCAGGATTCCCTGTAGAGAGACAAGGAGACGTCACTGGTCACTGGGGTGTCCCCAGTGCCAGGAAGGGATGGGGGGCCCAAAGTGCCCCCCACTTCCCACACTGGGTGCCCCCCAACTCCCGGACTTACCCCCCCACAGGCATCGCCGCTGGCCTGAAAGGGCTGCAGGAGGAGAACAAAGGCTTGGTTGGGGTTGGCCTTGTGGGGCTGGGGGGACACGGGTGTCCCCACCCCCTCCAGCCCCGGCTGCACCCCGGGCTGAGCGGGGCTCTTTGGGATTGCGGCTGCCAGGCAAGTTGGGGACACCAGTGCAGGGGGAAAGGCAAGGCATTGAGGGCAAAGCCTGGAGGAAAGGCCCTGGGAAGGGGCCATGGCAGGGCACTTCCCAGTTGGTGCCAGTTCAGCCTGGCCAGGCCTTGTCCCACTTGAGCCCAGGGTGGAGCTTGGGCCTGTTTGTCCTCCTTGGACTCCAGTGGGGCTTGGCCCAGTTCCACCCAGTTTGGGTTGGGCCTTTGCCTTGGCCGGGAAAGAGAGGAGATGGTGGGGAGATGCCCCAGGGGACCAAGAGGATGGGATGGGGAGGTCCAAAAAGGTGGGATTTGGGGTCAGAAAGAGCAGGAAGCGTTGGGACTGTGCCAGGACGGAACCGGGTGCAAGCATCCCGTGAGGAAGCGGAGCTGCAGCAGCAGGAGTTGAATTGTGGGAAGGGGAAGGAGAGAGGGAATTGTGGCCAGAAGAAAGTGGCCTGGCCCGGGGCTGGGGGTGCTGGGGAGTGCTGAGGGAGCCCCTGGATTGGGAAGGGGCCCATCCCTGAGCCCATGGCCGTGGCATGGGGGCCTCACCTTGGCATCTGCCGGGGGGCTCAGCAGGATGGTGAAGAGCAGGGCCACGCTGAGCACAGCGACCTTCATCTTCCTCTGGGCCTGGGCAGCGCTGGCTGAGGCTGCACAAGGGCAGGAGCACATTTATCCCTGCCGGGACTCCTCCCTGCCCCCTCCCCGAGAGCCCCCGGGGCAAAGCCCGGCTGGGCACAGCCCCCAGCCCTGGCCACAAGCCCAGCCCTGGCACAGAGTCCATCCCGCCTGCGGCACCCATCCAGCCACCTTCCCCGGCATCCCTCCAGCTTCCTGCACGGGGCAGCTGCCCCTGGAAGGGCCCAGGCCCCTGGGGGTGCCAAGGGGGTGGGCAGGGAGCTGAAAGCAGCTGCATACCCTGTGGGGACAATCCCACACAACACAATCCATCCTCCAGCAGTCCCCAAAGCCTGATCCACTCATGTGCTCCTGCCCATCCCTTCCCAGAACTTTCCCTCTGGGACACCCCAGAGCTCAGCCCAGCCCCAAACCCGGTGTGTCTGAGCACAATTGTCCCTGTTCCCACTTCAGCCCCTTGGCTGAACGCAGGGCAGGCACTGCCCCCCTTCTTGGGGCACCAGGACCCCGGGATCAGGGAAACAGGGAGCTGGGAGATAAAGAGGCTGACGGGCAATGGGCACAGGCGGGTGACTGGGCTCTCCAGTCTGGGCAGGCACTGGGGAGCACTGGGCAATGCTGGCCCTGGCACACAAGGGCTGGGCCCAGGGAAGTGCTGGGGTGGTGGCAGTGCCCGGCTCCAGCCCATTTGCGGGCACTGCAGCCCCCAAGTGGTGCAGGCCCAGCCACGGCCTCCCCGAGCAGAGCCCAGAGGGGCAGATGCCCTTTGCTGGCCCTGCCCCTGTCCCAGCTGGGCACACCGTGTCCTCCCGCATCAGCCGGGCCCCGCTCTGCTCAGCTGGCCCAGGCAGGGGGGCCAGGCACGGGGGGTTTCCGGGCTGGCTCGTGTCCCGTTTGTCACCCACCAGCACCCCAGAGCCCTCTCCCAGCAGGGACTTCCATCCCTTCCTCCCCCAGCCTGCACCAATCCCGGGGGTTGCCCTGACCCGGCTGCACCACCTTGGTCTTGTCCAACCTCAGCAGATTCCCGTGTGTGCCGGGAAACGGGGGAAGGGGAATTCACCCGACTCTTGGAGATTTGTTTGTCTGCTGGTGCCCCAGGGAAAAACCAAACCCTGGCAGTCCCATCTAGTCTGTCCCATATTCCACCCAGGAACCCTCCACCAAACAGATCCACCATCTGGGGGGAATTCCAGTGCCCTTTTTCGGGGACTGACACGTCACAGCCAAAGGAAAACCCCTCAGTGGATATTTCCACCAGTTACTCCAGCATCAACAGAACTGGCAGCACCTTTATAAAGGACTCCCTCCAACAGTCTGAGGAATAACACTCTTTATTAATACAAATTGGTACAGGTAAAGGTTCGTGGTGGTCAGGGACAGGGTCTGGCTGCAAAACCACACTTTGAACAATGTCAAAATTGTTGTTAAAGCAAAGCAAAGCACAACCTCTACACCAAACCAATCCACAACTACATTAGGAAGCAAAAGCCAGCTCTAGTCCTTCCAAGCAGTGACTAACACGCAGAGCTGACACTTCCCACCCAGCACAGGCGTCCCTGAGGGGGAGGAAGGCAGGTTCAACCCCGCCATTGATCCCAGGAGTTTCAATGGAAATCTCCCACAATTCTTTCCCCATTACCAACTATCTCTTATGCTATTTTTAAGGTTTTGGAGAAGTTTGAGGGTTTCTACTGAGAAGTGCTACAATTGTTTCTGGGTGCCTGGGGAGCTTTGTGGGGCATGGTGACCTTATCCCAGCTGGGAAGCAGCAGCTGGAGTCTCTTTGCTGTCCGGGAAGCAGCAGCTGGTTTTCCTCTCTAATTCCTATTCTGTGTTAACTTTTAGCCTTATCTCTCTCTCCACACTCTGGGACCATTTCTCTGGCTTGTCCAGGTCCCCCTGGATGCCATCCCATCCCTCAGGTGTGTCACCTGCCCCGCTCAGCTCAGTGTCACGGGCTCAGGGTGCCCTCCATCCCTTGGCCTCCATCATTAAGGAAGAGGCCGGATACTGGGGCCAGGAGTGAGGAACTGGAGGGTGTGGAGTCCAGCTGGGGATTCCTTGCTGGGGATAAGGGCACGGACAGTGGGATTGGGAAGGGGGCAGCAGTCCTCAGCCTCTGGAGGTGTCTCCTGCAGAGAGGGAAGGACAGGAATGGCTTGGAGAAAGATCTTGCAAACTGCCAGTGGAGGAGGTGCCCAGGATGAAATGGAATTCCCTGTGCTGGAGGCAATCACATCCCCTTGGGGTGCAGGGGCTGTAAATGCCCCCCCTGAGCGGCTTCCCCTCCCCTGGGCCCCTCCTCAGTCAACGTTCCTCAATTATCCAACAAACGAGGCACGAAGCAGAAAGGGGCAAAAGGAAAATCTTCCAGGTCACTGCCGGCTCCTGGGGAAAATGCAAGGCAAATAGTCAAGTCATTGAGCTGAGATGTTTTCCCAGCTGCCCCACAATGGTCTCTTGTGTGTGGTCAGGGGCCCGTAAGGATGGAAGGTGTTGCGGAACTGTGGCCAAAGGTGAGTGGAGAATTGAGGCTGTGGCAGGTGCCGGGAGCCCCCGCTCAGTGCCTGTCCTTGATCTGTGCCCACGGGGGTCCCAGCCCAGAGGGGCCTGTGAGGCGGGTGGGGAGGGAGGGAGAGTGGGGCGGGAAGGTGCCATCCTGCTGAGGGCCAGCGCTGGGCCCACAGATATGATGTCATATGAGGAATGTGATGTCACAGAGGAGGATGTGATGGCACAGGAATGATGTGATGTAACTGATGCCTTAAGCCCCTAGTATAGTTTTTATTTTTCTAATTTTTATAAGCTTTATAAGTTTTATAAGTAGTAGAAGTAGATTTGAAAAACAGCATCCCTCACTCCCTTTCCCTGTATTACAAGTAGTTTACACATTCCTTCAACCTCTTACCCCATTCTATGCTCCCCATATCAAATCTACCCCTGAATTCAGTGGCAATGTTTAGTCTCTTGTCAAGGCAAGGCCTAGGTTGTTTAGAGAACAGCCATATCAGGGCCTGAACAACAAAACAGAGTCAAGAACTAGGTGACTATATACCCTCTGTGCTCTGAAGATGATGAGACTGATGAAGAGGTGGTCCTGAAATACACCCCAGACTCAGTTCTCAGGGGGTGGACCCGGGGTGGACCAGAGCAAAGGCTACAGTGTGGCCACACTTGGGATTGGACAGACAATATTATAAAATGTACCATCTCGAGCACAGCGGCGCGTGTCTAACATCCATTGCCTTGGCACAATTAAACCCTTTGCTTATCTCACCCCTAATTAACTGCTCCTGAGTAATTTCTTTAGCACCAACATTCCACGGCGTCACACAGAAGAGGATGTGATGGCACAGAGGAGGATGTGATGTCACAGGGAAGGATATGACGTCAGAGGAAGGATGTGATTCACAGTGCAAGATGTGATGTCACGAGAGAGGTGATGTCATACGATGGATGCGACGACATAGACCAGCTCTAATGTCACAGAGGAAGATGTGATTTCACTGAGGAAGGATGAAGTGTCACATGGGAGGATGTGATGTCACAGAAAGGATGTGATGTCACAGATGAGAATTTTATGTTGTGTGAAGGATGTGACGTCACAGAGGAGGATGGGATGTCACAGGAGAGATATGATGTCATATGATGGATGGGACTTCATAGAGGAACTCTGATGTCACAGGGAGGATGTGCTGTCACAGAGGTAGAATGAGATGTCACGGGGGATTCCAGAGTAAATGGTGGAAATATCCACTGAGGGGTTTCCCTTTTGCTGTGATGTGTCAGTGCCTGAAAAAGGGCCCTGGAATTCCCCCCACCTGGTGGATCTGTTTGGTGGAGGGTTCCTGGGTGGAATATGGGACAGACTAGATGGGACTGACAGGGTTTTGTTTTTCCCTGGGGCACCAGCAGACAAACAAATCTCCAAGAGTCGGGTGAATTCCCCTTCCCCCCGTTTCCCAGCACACACGGGAATCTGCTGAGGTTGGACAAGACCAAGGTGGTGCAGCCGGGTCAGGGCAACCCCCGGGATCGGTGCAGGCTGGGGGAGGAAGGGATGGAAGAACCTGCTGGGAGAGGGCTCTGGGGGTGCTGGTGGGTGACAAATGGGACACGAGCCAGCCCGGAAACCCCCCGTATGCGGGGCTCATCCCGGGGGCAGGGGAGGAGGGGAATGTGCCCCTCTGCTGCCCTCAGGTGAGACCCCACCTGCAGTGCTGCCTCCAGCTCGGGGGGCCCAGATCAGGAGGAATGGACCTGTTGGAGTGGATCCAGAGGAGGCCACAAAGATGCTCGGAGGGCTGGAGCCCCTCTGCTCTGGGGACAGGCTGGGACAATTGGGATGGTTCAGCCTGGAGAAGAGAAGGCTCCAGGGAGGCCTTAGAGCCCCTTCCAGTGCCTCGAGGGGTTCCCAGAGAGCTGCAGAGGGATTTTGGCCAAGGACCTGTAGGGATGGGAGAAGGGGGAATGGCTTCCCACTGACAGAGGGCAGGCTTAGAGGGATATTGGGAAGAAAGTTTTCCATGTGAGGGGGGGAGGCCCTAACACAGGTTGCCCTGAGAAGCTGTGGCTGCCCCATCCCTGGAAGTGTCCTAAACCAGGATGGATGGGGCTTGGAGTAACCTGGGCTAGTGGAAGGTGTTCCTGCCCATGGCAGGAGGAGGCATGGGATGAGCTTTAAGGTCCCTTCCCACCCAAACCAATCCATGATTCCAGGATTCTGTGCTGAGACAAGTCCCTGTTGTGGGCAGTGACTGTAAACCAGTCCATTATCCCAGTCAAAACCAGGACAACAGGACAGAGACCTCCTGTTGAGTCTGGTCATGCCCCCCCTCTCATGCAGCTACTGAGGGACTCTGGGAATACGAGAGCACCAGGAAATTGGGAAGGGGGACATAATTGTGGGTAGAACAGGACCCCCTTTTCTCCTCCCCTTTCCCTCAGTGAGTCACCACAACACCTCCCTGCGGGTCACGGCCTGAGGAGAACATCCAGGCCCCAAATCCATTTGGATCCAGAGGGTGGGAAAAATCCCACAGCAGGGACTACAGGAACCAGGGGGATTTCCCCAGGGGCTCCCAGCTCTGCTCAGAGGGAAGGAAGGAGACAGTCCAGGGGGGATCAGCTGCACCTCAGGCACCCTGCTCACGTCTCTCGTCCATCTCTCTCTCAAACACCAAACTGGGGACATTTCCCTCTTCCAATGAGCTGCTGATGTCACAATTTGGATGATCCAGAGTGGGATCATTGGTGTTGAGGGGCTGTAAATGCCTCCCTCTTGAG